GTTATGTATGTAAAAAGTGAGTTAGGGCCCTTGACTGGCCCCTCTTGGGGTTGGGGACTGATGTGAAGTACAATATCTGTAAAGCGCTGCGTAAATTGACAGTGCTAGTAAGTTCCTGAAAAAAAAAAATAAAGAAAAAAATTTTTATAGTCACAAACCCGCTGTTTCACTCCCCCTTTTGTCCTTAAATTGTCTCCCTCTGCCCTTTTCCGACTTCGTTCTAACTTTGCATTCAAATGGCAAATCAAAGCAAATTAAAATCCCTAGGGATCCAATACCCCCTGTCTGTTGCTCTTGCAGAATTACGTATTTCCCGGCGTATAAGACGATTTTTTTCCCCTTGAAAATTTTTCCAAAAAGTGGGGGGGGTCGTTTTTATACCCCCGGTATACGGCATACTGACACTTTTTTAGGGGGGGGGCGCGTTGCCGCCGCCGCCCCCCTTCCCCCCAATGGAAGGGACCTAAGTACGGGGGGTGGGCAGCGGCGGGTTTTTACCGGGTTTCCCCGGTCCCACGCGATGGTCCCAGGAAGCGCGGTGTCCCTTCGTTGGCCACTGGATGTTCGTGCGGCGCTCGGCTCCGCCTCCTCACCAGGATTGGCCGCCGAACTGTAGCCCCGGGAAAGGCACACAGGCGGGCCAATCACCGGCGGGTGGGGTTGGAGCCAGAGCGGCCCCGGCGAAAATCGCTAGTGCAGGACCAGGCGGGGTTATGTGGTCAGTTGTAGAGGTGCTGCTGCAACACATATGCTGGCTGCTGCTGCACCTATACGGAATAAACCAGGGTCAGCATGTGTCAGTGGGGGAATTGTGACCCCCATCATTGGTGTCACTTGATACCAATGATGGAGCATATTCCTCCCACTGATACCAACGATTGGTGCAATATTTCCATCCCACTGACACCATCGATGGGGCACTATTCCTCCCACGACACCAACGATGGGGCCAACTATTCCTCCCCCCCACTGGACACCAACGGATGGGGCACTTTTCCTCCCCCCACTGACACACAACGTGGGGGCTACTATTCCTCCCACCCCACTGACATCAAGATGGGGCACTAATTCTCCTCCACCCACCCACCCCTGAAACCACTGATGGTGGCACTATCCACCCCCCCCCACTGACAACCAATTATTGGGACACCATTCCTCCCCACTGACACAATGATGGGGCATATTCCCCCCAACGATAAAATGATGGGGACTATTCCACCACTGATACTAATGATGGGTGGCACTATACTTGCCATGATACAATGATGGGGGAACAATTCCCCCACTGATACATAATGATGGGGCACTATTTCATCCCATGACACCCAATGATTTGGCAATATTCACTCCCACTGATTACTAATGATGGGGGCTCATATTTCCTGCCACTAATGCCAATGATGGGGCACTATTCCTGCCAATGATACCAACTGATGGGGCATTATTTACTGCCACTGATACAATGATGGCGTCTCTCGCCTAGAGGTCTGGTTTGAACATGATGAAAATATGGCCTGGCTTTACGATTGCATATGTAAGAGAGCTAAATTAAGTTAGCCCAAAACTTGTAACCAAAGATTACTTGACCCTTAGGCATATAGTGCTACATGAGTGTCATTATTGACAAATAAAAACTCATAAAACAAAAAAAAAAAAAAAAAACCCCCCAAAAATAAAACAAAAAAAAAAAAAGAAGAGGAGGGTGAAAACAGGAATAAAGAAAAAAAACAGAGAAGGCGGAGATCAGAGCGTAGATTGTAGCAATAACCAAAATAAACACTATGGTATGTAAGCAGTTCATAATCATACTTTCATATTCATGGGGCCTAAACATTCTTGACAACTATACCATTTCAGGTCCAAATTTCCCCGTATTTTGGCATTGAAGAGCCACTGCTCTTTCCAAATGTAATTGAATTAACTCTATGGATTTAATAGTGGATGATGCGCTCAGCCATGTGGGGTAATAAACTAATTAAACTAGATATGAACAAGAATAATGCATAAAAAAATAAAGTGAAATAAAATAAAGTGACTAGTGTCCATTATAAATATAAATATGCAAACAAAAAAAAATTATACTAAATAAATATAAATACAAAATCTCAAATACATGATATTTATATAGTGAAGAGTGATGGTGCTTCAAATCAATGAAATGTGCAAGAAAAACCAAACTACCAGTCTTCCACCCAGTGGGATTAAAACTGGTACTAGGTTGTCACACCAAACTAAGTGGTATTAAAAAGTGGACAACGTGCCAAAAAAACTTAATATATTATATACAAATACCCACAATCATGTATATATAAAAAACCGTATATTGATACAAAAGTCGAACAATCACTGACTTAAAGTGACAAGTGTTGGAGTAAAACAAAACAATCAAAAAAAGTCCCAGATTAAAGTGCAACAATCGTGCTAACACTCTTTGATGTGAAATTAAATAAAATACTAATGCTTTTCCACTTCAAAATTTTGTGCTCAAAAAAAAGGTGTCACTCTTAGTGCATATATCCTCCAGTGGCTAGGAGTGCCTCCTCATCTCCTTTATTCGACCCTAAGGGTCAACAAATCATATAAGATGTTCCCACCACGATTGGATCTGTTAACTTCACGATAATTTACTGATGACTTACATCACCTTATCTATCACTCCAATATCCATCCCGCCCAAATGTATTAGGCATAGAGAGATCAAGAAATATATATCAGGGCACGAAGGGTTAAAACAAAGAGAAAATAATTCTCATAGTGTAGTATGTCAATATATTTAATCAAAAATGACAGATAAAAATTCCTCACATGGTTCCAAGTACACAACCACGGAATTCCCATATGTTATGTAGTTTGTACTAAGGGACTCAAGATGGCAAAAAAAACGGAAATGCCGTCACCGGATGCGTCACCGAGCTCCACCCGGATATATGAGTCACTGCGACTCTACACGTTACACCCCGAACACATGGCTTCTTCAGGATCTCTATGGATTACGGTCTAGGTTGGTGGGAATCCTCAGATTTCCAGGCAGCAGTGATAGACATTCTAGCAGCGATAAGTATATGGCCATCAATTGTTCTATACTGGGCTGGGAATAGTGCAATGTAATATTGAGGTGCGCTAGATTGAGAGTGGGCTGCTAGTTATGCCAGAAACCTGTGAAATGAGAGCACAAATCTCCTGCCAAACACTTTTTGTATGTAGGGGCATCCAACACAGAGTAGATTCCCTTCCTCCCAATTACTCCAGCGTAGGGGTGAACACATTGGGATACATTTTTAGCGAGGTTATAAGGGGTGTAAGGTAGCTTATGGTAAAGAATTTTTAGAGAGCAAGTTCCGATGATTTGATGCATTTAGTAATACATAAGTTATTGCCAAGGCAGGCTTCCATTCATCTTTTGTGAAAGACCTTTTAAGATCTGCTTCCAGCTTCTTATATTATGGGGAATATGAGATCATTATAGTAATGTAAATAATTATAGAACATGAAATTTTTAATAGAAACAGGATTAGAGTCATGGCATTCCATAGTTGGAGGTCAATGTAACCATGTCTTTGGATTCAACCTACTTGATATCCTTTAGCTGTAGAAGGAGTTGTAGGCACCTCTACGTTGGGTTGCATTCCCTATTTAAGTAAGAGTATTGTTTGCCCAAAACTCTTGTAAAGCATAGTGTTGAGTTAGGATGTTAGAATAAAATATTCATACGCTGAGCGGGGGTATATCTAAATCTGGATCTTAGGAGATGAGGGGTTTAATTTATTTTGCCAAATAACCTTGCCGCATGAGACGCAAGAAATAGATGGAGAAAATGTATTGAGGAGATTGTAATGGAGACCTTCAGGGCTTTAGCATTGGCTAAATATGCTAATATTCAGACTGCTGATTTCTAAATTTGTACCCCATAGTTTAACTGAATGGGGTGAAAACACTCTGCGAGTTGGTCAAAAATAGAAGCATAGTAATATCTAGAGAGCACTGGAAGGACCGATCCCCCTTTAGACTTATATTTAGTAAGGGATAGAAGAAGAAATTCTCAGGTTTCCTCCCGTCAAAATATATTTCCTAATAGGCTCACCTCCGAATTTATTAAAGTAAAGGCTATGGGGGATAATAATTGGTATTGTTCGAAAATAGTATATTATTTTGGGAAGAATCAGCATCTTAAAAGCTGCTATTCTACCTAATCCATATGTTTCAAATTTAGCGATGTCGCTGTAACTCCTCTAAAACGGACTTATATGCTTTCAGAAATTGTCTTTGAAGGTTTAGAAAATGGAGATCCCACCTCAGTGCTTTTCACTGGGTTATGAGTCCAGGTCAAAAATTCTCGATTATCACTGCTTTATATATCTCTTGAAAATCTCGGGAGTCTAACCACCTCTCTCTTTAATTCTAGTTCAGCGTTTTATAATGTATTCTAGGTTTTTTATTCCTCCATATAGATTCCCAACATCATTTTTCAAGTAAAAAGTAAAGGTTTTTTAAAAAAAACCTCTGAGTGTTTAATTAGAATCATTTGGAATTTACCATATTTTTCGCTCCATAAGTCGCCAATTTTCCAAACACAATAAAGGGGGGAAATGTCAGTGCGTCATTACGGGAGCGAAATATAAAGCGGCCGGTACTGTATTTCTGCCGACACAACTTGTCAGTATACCGGGACGGGCCCGCTCAGCTGTTCTCTTCCTGCAGGGCCTTACCTGTTCCTCAATCCAGAGACATGCTACAGTCTTCACGCGCTGCCTTCTGTGACAGCCGGTGCCAACTGCGCATGCGCTGCACATTTGCGTGAATGGTGCGGTGTTTTTGGGACATACAACACAGGTCCCAGGAAGGCGCCTGGCCATTCACAATGAGCAGCGCTTCCGCGCGATGCGCAGTGGGCACGCCGGCGTCACAGAAGCAGGAGAAGAGGGAAGGACTACACCGCGGAAGTGGGGAAACGGGGTACCTGTCAAATTCAGGTACCCGCTCCCCTCCCTCCCCAAAGATCAGCAGTCTCTGGTCATTCCCTGTACTGTGTCCTGCAGTCTATGGTCATCCCTGTTCTGGTCAGCAAGTCTCCAAATCACTTCAAAAACAAGTTTGACACAATTTGCATGGACATCACCGCAACTACCACGCCCTCTCAACCCGTCCCTCTCACACAGCTGCCCCTTATCCCCCATCTCCCTCAACATAAACCCAAGGGATGCGTGAGGTGTCTGCCCGCTGCTGTGAGACTGGAGATCACTGCTCGTTCCAGACCTCCGGGTGTCCTGCCACCCCTCTCAGCTGTCAGAAGGACTACGCTTCAGTGTCCTATGTCCTCTCCCAGTGGTGGAACACACCTCCACTGTGCTGTGCTAGACAGATGCGCACTTCCACCGTCACCGCAGTCTACCTATACAGTTGCCTTGTTGCTATGGATCAGAGGTCCACACGCGCCCATAGGACCTAGCAGTCTCTGGTCATTCCCCTGTACGTGTCCGCAGTTCTTGGTCATCCCTGTATGTGTCCGCAGTCTCTGGTCATCCCCTGTACTGTGTCGCCAGTTCTCTGTTATCCCTGTACTGTGTCCGCAGTAACATTACCACCATACTATTTTGATACCGATACTGATATGCTCCCAAAACTAATCTCGTCAAAGTGTCCTTCACTAGATCCACTGAAGCTACAGACAAGAATCTTG